CAGCGGCCGGGCCTCCCCCCGCCCGGGGAGCCCGGACAGGGGAGGGCAGAGCCGCTGTGCGACCTCCCCCAGCTCCGGGAGCCCTCGCGCCTCCGTCTCGCCATCTGCAAACTGGGGTCCCCTGGCAGCAGAGAGGGGCTGGCGTCTGCGGCGGGAGAGCCGGCGGTCAGCATCACTGGTATCCCCGAGGGCTCCCGGGAGGCGGCGGCGCCCAGGCCTGGAGGTCGGGAGTTTTAGAGGTGGGCGGGAGGAGCTGACAAGGGGACCGCTTAGTAGATGGACAAACTGAGCCGTGGAGAAGCCTGGGCGGGATGAGGGCGGGGCGGGGGCTCTCAGCCCCGTTCCTCCTCTAACCCTTGCGTGGTCACCCGCTGACACCGTCACCTGTGCCCGCGCGCTGGCTGAACGTGCGTGCGTTGTGGGCCAGGCGCTGTCGGGGAGCTCTGGTTCCGTGGAAGCCCCACGACGCCTCCTGGGCCTCTAGGTTTTGGCCGTTTGACAGAGAGGGAAACGGAGCCAACATCCTCCCCCTTTCTCTCATTCCCCTCGCCCACCCTGCTCTGGTCCCGCCTCAGCTCCCCATTGGAGCCCTGAGGGTGCTGGAGTCCCCCCAGAATCAGATGGGCCCAGGCAGACAGATGGACAGACTGACACGTGCCCCACTAACAGCCCAGCAGCATGGCTGGCAGGATGGGGGCGAGGGCAGAGCTGGAGTGTCTGCAGCTTTGGCTTGTGGTCTGGCAGTCCTCCCTGCCTGCCCACCCCACTTTCATAGCCCCAATTCAGGGAGGCCACTGTGGTTGCCCCACACCCGAGCTGTGCGTCCCTGCTTCTTCCTTCCAACTTTGGGGCCATGGGGAGCTAGTGGGTCAAAGCTGCACCCCAGAAGGAGGCAGGGGCTTCAGGGTCAGGCTCTGGGTCCTGCCCCCCCAGAGGTGTAGGAAACTGTCTCCCACTCACCACATGCTGGGGTCCGCTGGACAAGGGGGCAGTGTGGCCACACGGCCCTCAGAGTGACACATGCCCCACCTGCCACATCTCCAAGGGAACACTGCTCCCCCACGGGGTCCCTGTGGCCCCAGCGAGGCAGGATGTGGCCGGCATGTGCAGGGGCTGGGGTGTGCCCCACGCAGCAGGACAGAAACGGGGGTGAGGGTCTCAGAGCCGTGCCCCTCTTGAGACCCACGGGAACATCTCTCCAGCCTGACTGTCTCAGGGGCTCACTTTTCCCCCTAAGGCAGGGTTCTTACCTGGGATGATTCCTCTGTCCCGTGGGGGACGTCTGGGTTTGTCATGACTGGGGGTGTTCCTGGCATCGAGTGGGTGGGGCCAGGGAGGCTGCTCCACACCCCACAGTGCTCAGGACACCCCCCCCAGCAGAAGATGACCCACCCCAGTGTCAGCTGTGCAGCTCGGGGTGAGGGCGGAGGGAGGGGAGACCCCGGTGCAGAGGAGACAGTTACCTATTTATGTATTTATTTATAAATGACTCATTATGAAAAATTTAAACCTACAGAAGCGGGAATAGAAGAGCTCACTGAATTTGAGGTTTTTAACTTTTCATTTTGAAACCACCACTTCACACTTGCAGACAACCCCAGGATCCCCGGGTTTGCTGCCTTAGGTGCCCCAGTGCCACTGTCCTGCACAAAGGCTGCCTCCCTGATGGACCCGGGTCTGACAGCCGCCTTTCTCTGGTCCAGGGCTCCCCGGGGGTCTCCTCGGCTCTGGGCAGCCCCCCAGCCTCTCCTGTCTCTGGACTCTTGTCCCAGCCGCAGCCCGGACTGGCCAGGCATTCTGTGGACTGGCCTTCCCCGTGGGCTTGTGCAGGGCCTCTGCGCGGAGATGGGGTCTGCGTCCTCAGCGGGAGTCCCACAGATGCTGAATCCATCCCCCACCATGTGACACTGTCCCCTTCGGAAGGAAGGAGCCTCTCACAGGGGATGTTCGGAGACAGAAACAGCTGGATCTGGGTCTCACCCCTTGGGGACTCTGGCCAGCCTGCCTGACTGGCTGCCTCTCCCTCCCTCCTCCCACAGGCGTCCACCCCCGCCTCCGCCGATGCATGTTTAAGCCACATCACCCTGGTCCCTTGGGAATGGTCCCCATGTCCCCCTGCGGGGCATCCACTGTGGACGCGGGTCCTCTGGGTGTGGCCCTACCACGTACCTGCAGAAACCGGGGCTGCTGGGCCCTTGGGCTTCAGAACTAGTTGTTCTTGTTCAGCAAGAACGTCTCTGCTGATGGGATCTGGCACTCCCAGCCAGGCAGGCTGCCTCCCACGCTGGATGCCTCAGTGTCCCCACCTGTACAGTGGGCCAGAAATGGTAACAGTACCTCCCCCGGGGCAGCAGCGGAAGGAGTGGACCAATTAGATTTTTGGAGCGTGCTGGGCGCACAGTGAGTGCAGGTGGCAGCCCTCGGTGCCAGCACTGCCACCCTGTCACTCCTCTGCCTGGTCGAGACAGATGAGCACGCACCTTCCTCAGAGCCAGGTTCTTCTGGGAGTAGCGCGTGGCGGTCACACACCCCTTGCCTGGGTGCACATTCTGCTGTGCTTGATGATTCTGGGAACGCCACTTCCCTGGGCCTCAGTTTCCCCATCTGTTAATGATGGGATAATGTGAACGTGGGGTTAACTTACGTGATACAGGTTAAGAACTGAGTTAACCCTCAGCTGATGAAAGGAAACACACACGGGAGCATCATTCAGCCGTGAGAAGGAGAGCAGCCCTGACCCCCACTCCCACGTGGACAGACCCCGAGAACACGATGCTCAGTGAGAGAGGCAGACACAGAAAACTGCCTCCGGGAGGCCAGCTGGCATTTCTCCCGTCCCGGGTGAGGCGGGGAGGTCTCCACATTGTCCAGAGCCTTCTGTGTTTCTCTGCGGCCAACGGTTCACACCCTTTACCCACTTTTTTACTAGTGAGCTCCTTGGGTTTTTTCTTATTGACTTTCAGGTGCATATTATATTTATTATATTATAAATATATACATTAAATATAAACAATATTTATACAATGGATTTATTATGATTTATCATATGTTATTAAGTAAATATTTTAAAATACATGTATAATATTTTATACTACCAATATTTAGTATGATTTAATTTTTAAACTTTTTTTATGGTTTAATTTTTATTTTAGTAAGATAATTTTATTTAGTTTGGTAAACTATTATATTTGTTCTAATTTGTATGCTATTTATACAATTATATTTATTGTTTTATGATTACTTATGGAATTATATTTATACAATTATTGTGTTTTAGGTATCATTTATATCATTATATTTATTATTTTATATTTATATTTTAGCTCTTTTCATACTAGGCTCATTAACCTGTGATTCAAGTGGCAAATAGTTTGAAGTCAGTTTCCTGGGTGTCTTTTTTTTTTTATTTAATTTCTTTTTCAAATTGGAGGCACTGGGATTGAGCCCAGCACCTCGTGCATGCTAAGCACGTGCTCCACCACTGAGCTGCACCTCACCCCTTCTCTCCTGTCTTCTGACGCTGCTGCACAACATGCAGCTGGTCCTCGGTATCAGCTGGTTCTACGACCGCAGATTCAATCAACTGCAGATCAAGAACATTTGGAAAAGAATTTCCCCAGAAAGTTCCAAAAAACAAAACTTGAATTTGCTGTGCCCAGGCAACTATCTCCACAGCATTTAGATTGTATGAGGTTATTATCAGTCATCTAGAGATAATTTAAAATGTACGGCAGATGTAGGTAGGTTGCACGCAAATATTACGCCCCTTGATGTAAGGGATTTCAGTGTCTGCGGATTTCGGCATCCCCGGGGTCCTGGAGCCGAGCCCCTGCAGATGCTAAGGGGTGACTGTATTCTCCACCAAAATGAGAGACGGTTAAAGGGGACTGGAATTTCACAGATTTGGGTTCAAAGCCCACCTTGGCTGTGTGATCTCACTCAACCTCCCTGAGCCTGGGTTCCTCCTCTGTCAGGTGGGGATAACACGAGCCCCTGGCTCTCAGGGCTGGGAGCGAATTCAGGGAGTGGTGGCCCCTTGCAGTGGATGCGCCTAAAGCTGGTGGGTGTTTGAGCGCTCTGGCCCCGAGCCCCTGCCCACCCTGGCAGAGCAGAAACCAGCTTCCACGTAGACAATGCGGAGTTTCTTTATTAGAGTCACAACCG